ATATATATATATATATATATATTATAATTATTAAGTTTTCTTAAGAGAGGCGATCAGAGTGGTACTCGAATTTATTTACGATCTCAAATTTTCAAACGCGTTGCACTTCGCTCAGACATTTGCCTAAGTAAATTCTTTTTAAAAAAAAAATGTAAGTCACTCCTTATGTTACTCTAAGTGTTTCTCTCCTATTATTATTTTCATCTTGTATATTTATATTTACACGGATGATTGATGTTAACTTATCTTTTAAAGGTGACAGAAAACTTCTTCTAAGTCGTTCTCATCATCTCCGACTTCCTCTTCCCCCTCTCTCTTGTCTACTCTGACTCTATATTCTATATTTTTACCTCTATTTGTATTTTGTACTTCCACCTCTCTATATTTTGTATTTCCACCTACGTATATTTGTATGTTTATCTCTTTTTGTTGTATTTTTATATTTTCGGGAATGAATATAAGTGATAACAGAGTAAATAAATATAAGTGATAACAGAGTAAATAAATACAAGTGATATAAGAGAGAATCAATACAAGTGAAATTAGAGCGAATGAAAATAGTCTATTATTTTTTTGTTTTTTGTATTTATGTATACAAGTGGACTGTGTTCGTTGATATAGCCTAAATGCGCACATGAAAACAAGTGGTATAAGAGCGAATGAATACAAGTGAAATTAGAGTGAATGATTACAGATTCCTGTATTTTTTGTTGTTTGTATCTTTGTATACATGCAAACTGTATTTGGCAATATAAACTATATTCATCGATACATTTTGTATTCGATTCAAGAGCAAATGAAATAAATTGAAATTGGAGCGAATGAATACAGTCACCTGTTTTTATTTTTATATTTTTGTATCTTTGTGTACATCTTGAGTGTATTTGTGGATACAATCTAAATACACACACTAATACAAGTGATACAAGAGCGAATGAATACAAGTGAAATTAGTTTGAATGAATACAATTCTCTATAATTTTTATTATTTGTATATACACGGACTATATTAGTCAATACAACTAAATACATGAATAATATAACAAATATAGTCGATTGACACCTCAAAATATATAGAGCGAAGAGACTTAAACAATTGCTAAAAATGATAAATACCCAAACTTAACTCTAAATTGCTAATAAAATCTAAACTATAGTAATATTTTGAAATTCCTATATTTTAATACTAGATGAAGGTTTCTGTTTAAGTTGCTAATAAAATTCAAACTATTGTCATTTTTGAAAATTCCTATATCTAAATATTACATGAAGGTTTCCGTCCGGATCTGAGCGCAAATATGATAGTTCTCCATCTATATATAAAGTGTGAAAATAGGTGAATATACTCAAACGGCCTTTTTAATACATCATTTAATTAATAGAACAGTGTAATTTCTGGAAAGAGGGGCATAAAAAACTCTGCGATGCTATTACTGTATAATCAATCACAAGTAATAATTATTACAAACATGTATTATTTCTCTTCAAGCATATTTACACCCATTTGCATCAACCAAGGGAGATACTAGAAAAAGTAGAATATAATTCTTTTGAAGTATGATTTTGTATAGCAAAGAAGTAAAAATATATTATGTATAGTAAATGCATAGCAGATGTTTGCTAAAATACGAAGAGAAGTTGGTAGGTCTTACATTGAATATCCCTATTCGAATACTTGAAAAAAATATTTTATAAATTTAATAAGATTTTAATTAGGACAGGACTAGTTGATTATAATTGTGTTCCAAATTAAGATCCATTAGGTAGGGGTTGTTTCCTTTTGGTTGATTCCTGACATCTGTAATCTTACTGTAGAACCCTCAATTGAAGTTCCAGCATCTGTAGCAGCCTTGAGTCCCCTCTTCATTTTCGCTTTCGAAGCCCAACCAAGAAGACCAACTTGAATGTGCTCATCAAATATTGACTTCTTGAAATGGGTACCCATCTGTAATTCAGATTCAGATTCAACTTCAACATTCATTCATATCAACCTACTCAACAAACCATGCCTGTTTAAAACACTAACCTGTGTAACAAGAGCATAAAGTGGCAACGTGCTATAGCTGCATAACACTTGAATTATTACCCTGGAAAACACAATCACATCATCATCAAAACACGTTTTCTCCTACATTTACGCTATATATAATACCCAACTGGGCACTGGACTTTACCCTATAACAAGTCGTGGAACAATGAAACCAACTTGTCCCATTATGCAGGAATTAAAGCCATATTGCACCTATTGAGAGAACGAAAAACTACCAAGATTAGAAATAGAAAAGTAAGCTGAGTGAAAACATAGTATAATAACTTTAGCTTACCAATATCCAGAAAAAGAATGCTATCTCAAAAGCATTTTGGAAGAGGATAAAGTGTATCAAGATGAGGACAATTTGAGGGCGCTTGAACCAGAAGTGATCATCAGAAGGTTGGACCACCAATTCACCTTCTATCGCGACATGTTTCTCTGCTACCTCATGAGCTAACTGAATAATTACATGCTCCAACTTTGTGCCAACCGCAATCAGAAGCTGATAAAAACCCAAAAAGAAGTTAAGTGGAAGAAGATGAGGTTGTTGCTAAAGGAGCCTCGTGTTGAAAAAATAAATATTAAGAGCAATTAAGAAAGAAAAGTAATTGAATGTGTGAGAAAGGAAACATCCACATTCAACATGCATCTTAACTCCTGAGAAGGTTGATAGGAATCTAGAAATGCTCCAAAACTAACCTTTAAATAAATGAATTTGTAAATAGAAGAGTACACCTTTGTGGACTTTTTGCCAAATAAGTGGGATCCAATATAGGTAAAATATTGATACTGTCACTAAACATTTGCCAAATAAGGAAATGTGTCAACTTTTTGGGGACGGACCAAAAAGAAAAAGTGTGTCACATATATTGGGATAGAGGGAGTAACTGTTTTGTTTGAATGGCTTTTCTTAAAATTTAAATTAGATCTAGCAAAAGGCTTAGTAAAGATCCAACTCACAACAAAAGGAATGAATGCAATCCAGAAGTATGTATGCCAACCTGGAAAATATAAAATGAATTTATCAGCTTTCAGATATAAACCACAACCAAATGACCAAACTGAAACATGAAATGAAACTTGTAAAATTATATTAAAGCCAAGTGAAAGTTATGCAGGCAACACTTTTAAAGGCAGTGTCTGGAATGAATCATCTAAAAGAGTGCTGAAAAATGCAAATAGTACCACAAAACCAACAGAATTCTAACACGTGGCTTAATTTATCATAAGTTGCGGAAGCATAAGGAGATGTTATCAAATTACAACTATAGCATGTACAATATGAACGGAGACATAGATAAACTTATTAACATTTGCCTAAGAGGAAGTTGGCAAATGGTCGTACCCATAGTTACAAGACAACTAATTCCATAATTTCTTCTGTGATAAGTCAAAGTTTAATTCACAATTTTTCTCATCCTGAAAGAGGGTGTAAACTCGGGGCATTCAGCTTATTGTTGGGTATAAGTTCACGGTGACACATGGTTATAAATGCTTGGATAACACTTTCGCAATTATAAAAAGAGTGGGCCATAAATTTAGCAATAAATTAAATGCAGCTGTTGCGAGTGACAAACTTGGGATTTAGCCTGGCCTCTGGGGGAGGGGGACAACCTACTTGAGGCCCTACCTAAGAAGCAGAAAATTTAAGAGCCTAGAACCTAGATATTATTGCTGTCGATTACTAGTTTCTTAGAGAACAACTATCTTCGATAGGTTCTATCCGAGCATAATATAGCACCAGCTGTGTAACCATCAATAGGTACAGTGCAACGCTATCCACAGCTTCCTTATCCTTGAAGTCAAAGAGGAAATAAATTGGGAATATTCGATTTTTTGTTGAATAGAAGTGTGTAGTACCATGTACTCAAAAATGTTTGGTCAGTCCAACATCTTAAGCAATTATAACAATGAGTACAACAATCAACTTAGCAGTAAGTAAACTGCAGCTACTGGCAGTGGCACTCTTTGGGATTTTATGGGAGGGGAGATGGCCCTCGCTGCAGACACCAAGCAGATATTTTTGAGCCCACAATAACATTAAAATTGCTGCTATTCAATTGTTAGTTTCCATTTGCCAAGAGAACAACTCTCTTCAACAGCACTAAGGTTGCTGGTACCCAATTATTACTTGCCAATACAACCCTTTTCCATTTGTTCTGCATTAGTATAGCATTGAAACATTTCAAAGCAGCTGCAAGGTCAAAATGTCTATTCCAAGTTAGAGTTGGCATACCATTAACATTCAGAAACAAGAAGATGACAACAAATACCCAGAGATACCAACTGCAAAAAACACAGGAAAATGGCAACAAGTGAGAAAAACATGCAAATTCTTCCCGGTGGGATGTGGCAGAGGAGGGAGGAGAATGGCCACTAACCTGATACCGACGACAGTCTTAAAATCATCTTCCAGAGCACGAATCATGTACTTGTGAAAATTAAATTTTGGGTTTTGCTTGCAATGTGTCTGCCAAAGAGAAGAAATTTAATACTACATGAGCAATTAAGCACCAAAAAGATGGCAAAACAACAAACAATTATCTCAGACAAGTAACATAGTGAAGTTACCATAATGAACCCCAAACGCAGAGCAGCATAATCTGACTTGCTGACAGAACCATAAAACTGCTTAAAGAAAGAGTGCTGCAAGTTTTCGTGGAAACCAAACAAAAGTATGAGATGCTTATGTTAATGTAAAGGCACTATACAACCACGTGATTGCTCTATTATAAATTCCCCATTTCTTCACCTTCTGTCTTACTCATAATTAAAATTGATGTTTATTCAGCATGTTTTTCAAATTTTTGCAAGTGCCCAGCTTATCATATTTGTTGAGAATAAGAACCAGTACTTGCTTGGATAGAAGTCTCAGGTAACAGGGCCCTAACACGACAGCAAATAAAACTTGCTAATAATATAAATTCTTTCAACGCACTGAAGTAGTGAACCATATTTTAGCTAAACTAGCTATATGACGGACTTATTGGAGACACGATCCAGCGTTGGCATTTCTCACAAAATAAAAGGATAAAAGGAAGTGGTCATATCTGTCCATCACATATTCACGTGTCATTTGAGAGCATATGCACCTTCCCCATCTTTAATAGCTTAAATTTAATTATCCTTCTTTTCTCTCCACATTAATGTGTTTTAAGAGAAGTTCCCAAGGTAAGTTTTACCATACATAGGAGAAATATATGATAGGGAAAGAATGACTGCTTATTGAAGAAGGAAACTGCTTACCATCCAACCAAAAATGGCTGAGCGTTTGCCCATACCCACAAATCGGTCCCTGATGAAATCGTGTTGCTGGACATGTGTAACCCGTGGTTTTAAAACTGCAAAAGAAAGCATCAAACTGTTTTAGTTTGAAGATCAGCTTGATCTAGATATAATGCATGAGGGGAGTAACTCCATATTGCTTCTTACTTATCTTTCCTCTCATGGGTTGCAGTATGTCAACAGTTTGCTACCTTAAAGACTTGGTTAAGGAAGTAACTAGTTTTACAGGGAGCATTAACTACAGGGGCGACGTAAGCTTTTACATCGGTCATTTACTTTCTTTCATCTTTGATTATCATCATTTCGAACAGTGTAAAGCGGCTCCCAATTATTATGTAAAATTAAAGTTTTCCACGTAAGCTTTTCCTTAGGTCATTTACTTTCTTTCTTCTTTGCTAATCGTCATTTAGAACAGAGTTAAGCGGCACCAATTATCATGTAAAATTAAACTCCTCATAGAGGAAATAAATCAGATGAGATTTTTTATTTTTTTTTGCGATATGGAGCAAAGAGTTGGATAAAAGATCTCACAGGTAATCATACATACCATGTGCAGTCTCATAATTAGCTTTTGCAATACTGTCCTCCCAGTGCTTCCATTGACGTATCTAGACCATCAGTAAATTACAAACACTCAATTCAAACAACAAACAAAGTTGAAGAGACCAGCAACAAGTTAATGAAGCAGATTTTATTACAGACCTTGGCTCCTCCAAATACAACTGTCAGAAGAGAGAAAGTCACATGAACAATTGCAAGGACAAAGATGAAAATGTGAAGGTGATGCAACGCTTCAAGAGAGAGTAATGGGACCTTATGCTGAAACAAAATTAAAAGGAATGATATTAGAAGTCAGTGCCAGACAATATGTACTGAAGTAGAATAATCTAACGGAAAATGATGACTATATATTCTAGAATCAGATACTGAAAAACTGGAATTCAACTTTCGAGTCAGGAAATTTAAGAAAATAATTCAAGTAAATGCCTGCATAATATTTTTCACATGGTCTCTTACTAAAGAGCAAAGACAAATCATCCCTAAATTTTTCCTTGTTTGTAAAAAAGGAACTCAAACAATGGCTCAATGTAAGAAAGATAATAAATTTAAAAGCAATAAAAACAACAATGCAGTATTCTTTTGTCTTGCCAAATAGAAGCACCAGTCTACCTTCCTTTGATGAAAACACACATGAACTAGTGGGGCAAGTTTAAAATAAAAAGAGCAGTCAATGAACGACCTCAGAGAAGCCGCATTTTCTCTACATTGTGGAATATGGAGCTAAGAAGAAAGATGTGAAGAAGTAAATGCAACTAGACTAGGAAAACAAATTGATTACTTTTGCAGTGCAATAGCCAGCAGCAGCAGCTTCTTCTTCTTCAACTAACAGCCGCCGATGATGTTGTGATTCATGAGAAGGGGCATCCGATAATGAACATGGTAGTAAGTGCATGACCACATCTTTAGGCACACAAATCTTGACTATGCTACTTTGAAGCACCGTCAGTAAAAGGGATATAAACCCCAAAAGCATCAACTCTGCATATTAATTCACCAATCAATTCAAAAAAAGCAACTTCAATTGATTATTACAAACCAAAACATATGACTAATTTTATTTTTTATTTTTTTTATAAATAGAATTAAAAAATTTAACAATATAGTATGTGAGGGAGGGGCAGATCTGTGCACTTTCCCTAAAAAGCCAGACGTTTAAAAAGAAAAGAAGAAAAAGTAGGGGAGATGGACCACCTTCTTTAACTTTCTGTAGCGCTTCATATAAAGGCTTCTGATTCTTCTTCTTCAGATACTGCAGACATTTGAAGAGCAGTATGTATGAGTTGAATGTAAAATTGAATTAAAGAGAAATATATATATATTTGGAATTAACCTTTCCAGTATAATGGATGAGTCGCTCAGCGGCTAGAGAAATGGCAACGATGACGGTGCAGACGGCGGCGACCACCCAAGTAGGGGTAAATTCCAATGTGTCTCCTTCTCCGCCTCCACTCATTTCCGTTTAATCTATCAAAAACGTAACTCTTCTTCTTCACAAAATTCAGCCTACCTGCCTGCCACAAATGTAACCAACTAGTGTGGGGACTTGAGTCTGACTAAAAATGGACATTTTTTTTTCTTTCTTTTCTTAATAAACAAGATTTAAGATTATCGGAATTTTATTTTGTTGTATGAGATTTCAAATGGGCTTTTTCAAAATTAAGTAAGTCCAAGTTTTATTTTGAAAATTAAAATTTAAGTTTTCCATAAAAAATTTAGAGTAAAAAGTTATGGTCAAATATATTTTTTGGAGTTCTAACACACAAAAATTGTCATTTACACGTAAACATTATTTATATAAATAATAATATTTCGAATTTTGACATGTTCAATTAAAATAATTAATAATTATTAGTTAAATATATAAGAAAATAAAGTAATAATGTATTATTTAATGAAGGAGCACATAATTTTAAATTTTTCATACTAATATATTACATGTGAAATGAATGTCTTTTGTGGTTTTATCTCAAGAGTCAAGACTAAAAATGTCGGACAAGGATAGGCGCGATTCACGGACAGGAGAAACTCTTGCTCTGTCCACTTGTTTTGTTTGTTTACGTTTAGCGTGTAAGAATAGAATTATTCAACAAAAACATTACTTTACTCCACTTTATAATTCTACTATTACTTATTTATTTATATATATCCTTCTCTTTTATCTACCCTCATTATATCAAAATATTTAAATATATGGAGTAATAATTTAATCTAATTTATCTATGAAAATTAGTCAAATTGACTTTCGAAAAACAAAACATGACAAATATTTCCTAATTACTTGTCCACTTTTCCTTTTTTAGTTGTCCCTAATTACTTGTCCATTTTGGCAAATCAAGAAATGATAATTTTTTTACCTATTATATCCTCAATTAATTACTTTGAAAAATGTAGAATTTCTTGAAAATCTTAATTTTTTTAAGGAAATATTTAATTAAAGGTAGGAAATTCAAATATGGAAGTTAAATTACATATTTACTTTCCTAAAAGAAGTAACTAGAATTATTAAATATGGTACACGCTCACCTATGTCCCATTTTGATATAGGTGTAAATAATTAGTTGAGAGGGAGTTTAGCTATTGTTTCTACAAGTTTTCCTAGTGAAAACACAATCATGGATGCCGCTCCAATCACAGCTCAGTATGCAGAAATTCTTAAAGCAACCAGTACGCTAATATCAAATAGCATTACGGTGAAACCCATTCCTATTAAAAACTTTGTTATAATAATGGTGTTCGAAGGGTAGTTTGGATGGGACTGAAGAAGAGGTTGATAGAATTAATACATGATAGAATCTCCAATATGCAGTGGTTGAAAAAATCTCTTATGGTTGACCAGAACTGGAGGAGCTCCAGATTCAAATTCCTAAGCAATACAACATCAAAGGGGATTGTAAGATTGGTTTATTGAGGTACCGACATATATTAATAAGATTCAACTGGGAAGATGATTTCATTAATATTATGTCAAAATCTACTACTATATTCTTGCTAAGAATGTATATGAGAGCTCTAATTTACGATGCAAAATTCAATGTAGAGGAGGAGACCATTCAGGCTATGGCTTGGAGTTCCTTTCCGGATTTGAAACCTACTTTCTTTGTTAAGGAATTCATATTGGTTAGAAAACCCCTTCATCTAGATTTGGTTAGAAAACCCCTTCATCTAGTTGTGCTAGGGTCAAGGAGTTGGTGGATCTGGAAGTTGTTAATGAGGCTTCAAATACGTCTAGAGTGGAAAAAGTGCAGGTCCAATATGACATGCTTCCTAAGTATGGTAATGAATGTAAGCTTCAAGGGTATGGGGAACAAGAATGCAAGGTTTTATATCTTGAATTAAGAAGAGTACAGGTGGTTGACAATGACAAAGATAAGCAATTCGATGAGAAAACTAATAAATCTTATATTGATGGTCCTGTGATAAGAGTTAGAAGGCAGTTTGAAAGATGGCATCCCATTAATAAAGGCGACTAGATCTGGAGAAAGTATTGGTCATGCTAATCCATTTGATGTGCTAGCTAGCAAGGGAAAATACATGCAGTGATGTAGTGCAACAAAGCAATATATATGGGGGCTAATAAGTCAAGTTGTTCAAATGGTGTTAATTCTAATTGTTAAGATGTATGCGTCCACTATCAGTCAATGGACCAGGTCCCTTGACACATCAAGAACAGTAGTGCAAGCACAAGCAGTAAAGTAAACAACAAGAGAAGTTTATGTGGAAACCCCCTTGCTCAAGGGCGGTGAAAACCACGACCTGTCCTTACAGGATTTCAACCCAACTCCATTTCACTCAAATAGAGCAATGATTCAGATTACAACTTCTTGCAACCTAGGAATTTACCTCTAAATCCTTTCCCCCTCAATGTAGCAACTCTACTACAAAGAAAGCAACTAAGAAATAACTCTATTGCCCACTAAGCCACCTAACTCTAGATGACTTAGACTTCAACTAAGCAACAACAATATTGCCCACTAAATCACCTAACTCTAGATGATTTAGACTTCAACTAAGCAACAACAATGCTGCCCACTAAGCCAGATACCCCTAACTGACTTAGATTTTTCTATGAACTGAACACATCTAATTCCTTTATAGCACATGAATAGATTTACATTATAAGCACTGAAGTATAAATCCTAAGACATCTAAGACACATGCAGCTCTATCAAGTCCCTGTTGCTCTTGAGGAAGATACTTCTCGAAGGAGTGGTTTTTGCTTAAGTTTTTGAGTATTTCAGAAATGCAAAAACAAAGGTTGTGTCTATTGAGGAGGACATTATCAAAGATAGACACAACTTTAGAAGCCAGCTATTGGCCAACGGATTCTGTCACGCTCGGGAGCCGTGCACCAACCTCACCAACTTTTGTACTTTTTCCAGCTGTCATTTGTTATCGTATTGGCACAAAGGATCAGGTCCCCTTACAAGATTCCTTTGTTTGTCAAATCAATAAAACTAAAAATAACATCACTAATGCAATAGAGAAAGAAAATGATGCAAGATCAGAGAGGGCAAATAAGAAACATATATCCACCATGGATAACAAATACATTTGTAAATCAACAAAGGCAAGAAGATACAGAAGACATTAATAAGGTGAAAGAGCATGAAAAACTTAACACTTATAAGTCATATATTGAAAAAGTTCAAGGCAATGATGGTTCAAAACTAATTTATGAAAGCCATATGCCTACAAATGAAGTGGAACATAAAGTAGATGTCATCAACAATACAATGGGGGTGGAAAATAATCTTCAACTGAAGGTCACTGATAATGTAGAAGTTCCTACAAAGGACATTGTGATGAATAGTGGTAATGAAGATTCAGCTGACAATGAGGACCAATTAGAAAATTCATCATTAAACATGATGACTCATGAATATCAGGAGGATTATCAAACACAACTTACTCTTATCAATGAGTTAAAAAATGAGGCATATCAAGAACTATTGCAGATGATTTCACTTCTGGAGGGTAGACTGCAGATAGGTGATGATCCTACAAAAAGAGAGGCACATGTACCTATTAGTGAAGTTTAGAAATCAATTCCCACTAAATCACTACATGATATTGTATCTCACCAAGGACAACATATAGAACCTACAAATTCTAATAAATCCATCACATTAGCGGTCACAGAAGAAGGATGCGAAGATAAAGAAGAGGATGATAATGATAACTATCACGGCCCAATTCCTCGAGTGATGATGGCACCTACTAAACTTGCCAGTAGGTAAGCCAACCTGTAACTCAGAATAACAAGTATTGAGTATAAGGATAAAACTAAACATAAATCAAAATAAACCATAAAATGAAACAGAAGCAGAAGCTAACCAAAAACTATTTACAAAAGATCCCTCCCAGAACCTAGAAGTCACAAGTATAGAGCTGTCTAAAAATAAGAGTACAAGTCCCAAAAGTGGACCCAAAGCAAATCAGTCTCAAAAGAAAAAAAACTAGATACACAATATATAGAAGGAGACCAATAAGCCCAGGATGCCAAGTGCTCACCCACATCTCCGATCCCAAATAGTTGTTGATGGCACGAACAATCACCACCATTAGGTGGTACTAGGACCTGCATGACGAAATCATGAGTACGAAAACTAAGGTATTCAGTAGACATCATAGGCCGACTGAGAAAGAAAGGTAAAGAGTATAAAAATATAGAATCTAGACACAAATAGAGGTCAATGCGGATATGAAAGAGAGAACACGAGCATACCAAAAGTAAGTCTAAGTAACTCTAAACCAAAACCTTACAAGAACCCCATAAGCCTAGAAAGTACACTCGTGCGCAAGTTTAAATAAAACTCGAACGGACCCCCATAAGCTTGACAGGTGCACATAATAGATAAGTTTACTGAGAGAACAGTACCACAAATCCAAACCCAAGAAGCAAAAATCGGGATCCCAGCCCAAGTAACCACATATACTCAACAATCCAGCCAACTCTCAACCCAACTATCAAGAGTGATAAATTAATCTAGGCCGCCCAGCCATCTAGTCTACTCCTAGCCCAGCTAATAAGAGTGACCCAGGGGCGTGTCGCCTTCGAAGAGGATCTCAAATATCAAAGCCACCCAACCAACTAGTCCACTCCCAGTGGTATAAGCCCCCCAACTAGCAAGAGTGACCCAGGGGAGTGTCGACTCCGAAGAGGATCTCAACAATCAATACCAAGCCATCGTGGAACAACGTTCACTCACAAGGAATCACAAGAAGTCTCCAAGCCTAAAACACTCCAATACCAAGTCACCGCGATAGCATAAAACCTTCGGTAACGCATCAGAGACACATAAGTAGGGAAAGGAGACAGAAGATTAATGAAGCTGTGCGAACTCCTAAACTAAGGCTCATACTATCAGACTTAAGGCTGCTACTCCAGTCTATGGGGATCTAGTCCGTCTAAGCCGACGTCGGAGAAGAAACAAGGCTAACAGGCCACAAGGATCGCAAGTCTAAGGCAACACTAGTCTAGTCCTAGACTAAGGCCACACATGCTCAAATATAACAAGTAACATCAACAAATCAATTCACAACAACATGGAATCACACACCGTCCCCGTCTAACATGGTACTACACTCGAAATAATGTTGATCAA